AACAGTGAAGGATCATTTAAAGTGGGGAGAAATAATGTTTAATGACAGAGACTCTAAAATTATATGCAGAGAATTTTAAAATATAAAAGCAGGAAGACGGTGCAATACCAGTTGGACTGAAGTACAAAGAAGGAATACTGTAAGTGATCCTCATGAGATGAGTGGGGTGACAACTGTCAGTATTCAGTTGTGGTACACACTGCATAGTATATTTTTTCTTGCTTAATTAGTAAGGTTCCAAACTAGTGTTTTCCCAACTAGACATCTTAGAACCACCGTTCTATAAAATGCTTCTCTGGGAGAAAAGTGTGGTCCTTTCAAGGGCACCCATTAGTAACTGATGGTCTTGAAAGGTACAACAGCAAAGAATGCTTACCACTCTCCCAAAACCTATTCGACCATGAAACCTAACTTTATTTAACATCTTCCAGAGATCTCTGTTTTTGTGAAATGATTTCTAGAAAATTAGATCAGGCCACTAGAAGTAATAGGTTTTGAGATGAGCTTCTGTACGTTTTCAAACCTGTATGTTTGAAAACTGATCAAGCAAACATGGTACCCATTTCTGCTTCCACTGAAGAAAGGGGACTGATTTGTTTTCTTCAATGCTTCTTCCAAATACAAAATTTTATACTACAAAAATACATGAAAGGAGATTTGATATTCATGTCCCCATTCAATTTAAGTACCCATTCAGTCAAATGCAATCCCATTGCCAAGGTAAAATATATGTACTGCCTTAATCTTCTTCATTATGCATATTTTTCACTGTTTGATCATTTGCAACTTTAATTTAAATTTTTTAATTTTAATAGGCGTTTTCGGTACACAGTATTTACATTACTTGGTGGGAGGGTTGGTACATGAACTTAACATGGTCTATTCCTATTTTCATCCTCTTTACACTTCCTTCCTTCCATTTACTGATCTCCTTCCCACTTGAGAAATATCTATCTCCCTACTTCCTACCATCCATCCTCCACTTTGCGCTCTCTCTATATATTTTTGGGGTTTTCCATACAAGAGAAATAAGCAGTATTTAAGCTTGTGTGTCTGATTTATTTCACTTAACGTTATGGTCTCAAGGTGCATCTGTTTTCCTAGAAGTATTCAAGTTTATCTTTTTTAAGGCAGAGTAGTACTCCATTGTGTATAAATACCACTTTTTCTATTTTTTGGTTTTGTTATTTTTGTTTTTTTTTGAGAAAAGAGTCTTGCTCTGCAGTTCAGGCTAGCCTTGAACTCACTATGTAGCCCAGGCTGGCCTTGAACTTGTAGCAATCCTCCTGCATCAGCCTCTCAAGTACTGGATTATAGGCATGTGCCACCAGGCATGGCTCACATTTTCTATTTTTAAATGTACAAATAAAAGTGAATTATCTGCTTGAATTGATTATCTGATTAAGGTTTGTTTTCACTGACCTCCATAGTCACTTCATCTCTTTGAGTGTGTCTAACTACGCTATAAAGCTAAATTTATATTTTTTTTATGTAATTAATTCCTTCTCTTTTGCATTTACCGTGGATAATCAAGAATTCCTGGTATTATGGATTTTTAAATGTCAGAGATTGTAAAGCTGTCTTGCCTATTACAGTAAAAACTTCATTAAAGGCTATCATGTATTCAAAGCAGTATGTAATTCAAAGCAGCTGCACATCCAGCTCCTCTTCTCCAGATGCACAATTGTCCTTTAAATAAAAACATCAGAAAATCCAAGTGCTCTTTCGTTTCAACTGCCAGACCTTTCAAGGTAACTATGCTTTAATAAAGTCAATGTAGTCTCTCCCATCCAGCCCATCAAAACTACGCTTTCCCACTGGCCCCTGTGTTGTCCAGAACAGTCTCTACTGCAGTGATGATCGATCACACAGCCCCTAAACACACCCTACATCTCAAAGCCTTGTATTTTTGAGTTGCACTTCAGAAACATGTCAAAATCATAAGGTTTTGCTTTTAAAGATTTTTGTTCCTAGTATGAAAAATCTCCCCTTCTTCACTGAAGGAAAACATTCATTTGTGGGTCTATATTCAATATCATTCTCTTTTATTCATGAAATATGTGTTTTTTTAAAAGGCGACACCCACTAAAATGTAATCTTTTTGTAGTCATACAAGATAGAGATAGTTTTCTAGTAAGAACATATGCATTTTAATTGCTTTTCTGAAGAAATTACATTGATGATTAACAAAAATAAGATTAAGTGCTATGGGAACGAGAAAACACTGAACATATATTATCCATCTTGAAGGATCAAGACAGAAGAAAACCTCCAGGTAAAACCCTTTTACCCCACAAGAGCCAAGGACAAACTTAAATCAACACTAAAATAAAAGCAAATTGCGCGTACTTCTGTCTCCCCCCAAGAAGATGTGTTTTAATCAGGCTGAACTTCTCTGCTGTCAGTAACTGTATCTTTACGTAAATTCTTACGAATCACAAGAAAAGCTTCTAAGTGCTCCAAACTTATGGTTTTGGCACAGCAGCTGCCTCGAGTTGAGGGAGGAGAAGAGGGGTTAGCAGAAAGTGTATTTAGGATGGATGCCACCCACCATCAAGTAATGGTTTAAGTAGAAAGTAATCAGAGGGAGACCACAGCAGCTAAATTTCAACCAAAGATATTTTAGGTTTAGAACAATAAATAATTTTAATCAGGTATGTTCCAAAGAGCAAAGAGGTCTCTATAGCAGGCTATAACTCAGCTTGAATCAGCACGTGGGAAGTCTGCCAGGTGAGCAGCCACTCCGTATATACAGTATATACCATCCGGTCTGCCACTGGAATCTGTAACGTCTTTGGTACAGAGAAGTCCCACGCCCTGTGAAACTTAAACAGTTGGAACTGGAAAACATATCTAATTTATTAATGCAGACAGCATCTTTCACCTACACTAGAACACAGGTCACAAGGTGAAGGGGTGTCATGGAAATGCCAGTGTGGATGAAGTAAGAGGGACACTCACACGAAAACCTTAGCACCTTCCTGGAGTCCTGCCTTCTTCCAGCCAGACTGCCTTATAATAAAGTCTTTTCAGTGTGCTGGTAACTAAACACTGTTGGAAGGGCTCCAACACGAACCACCTCTCCAGGAGTCTCCGATGAGGTAACCTGACACCTAAGCCTCCACGAAAACTAATGTCTACATTTGATGAATAAGTCATTAAGACGGGCTCTAGGATGCTAAAGGGCTTACTTTTCTTATCAGGGCACACAGCCTTGTGTATATGCTTCAAGCTGCAATTCATCATTTCAAGCGAACGTCTGGACTCTGTATCAGAGTTTAGCATTTGATGATATAAGATGACAGTGAGGCTGATAACGGACCCAGAAATTATAATGCACAGAATGGGTTGAGGGCACAAAGTATGTGGTGCCTGAGTTTATTCAAACCCTGATCCATGGTTCCTCAGCCTAAAACAAAAAGCTGTACCATGTGCATGAATAAAAGAAACTCAAATTCCAGGTCCATTCATGGTGATTCATAGTCAAAACAAAACTTTGTTGGTACAAAACAATACTGTTTATCTCTTGGGTGCCTCAGCTTCTCCCTAGGAACACAACCAAGATGGTGACAATCAAGGCAGGAGTGATTTGTCTACGTGCATTACTGCCACTGGCCTTGCCTACCGCACCACTCCTTCCCTGAACTCTGCCCTCGGAGATGCCACTAAGTACACAGATGGTTCACTGGTGTGGCTGGCTGGCTGTCAAAGGCTGAGATGCTGTGTGTTAGACAGGGCAGATTTCCTTTCCTTAGGAGAGGCCACCTCCCAAGTGAGGCTCCTGGGTCTAAAAAGAAGGTGGAATCTGGTTCAGCTCAGATTCTAGGTACAGACTTCTGCACTAGTAAGCATAATTCACATTTATTGTAAATGTCATCATGCTTATGAGCTCAAGAGCCCATTTACGGTGTCAACCTCGGGCTTCCTTCTCTTGATGGATGTTTTAGTTTTCCTTTTTTTTTCCAGGAGTCCTACATAACAAAGTTTGGGAAAATTTCTTCCCAGTGATTCTGACAGAACTGACAGAGCGCTGAGGCACCCTCCTTTCTTGAAGATTCTTGGCTATTTCTCAACAGTTTACTGATGACAGGCTTAGCAGTAACATTGCCCTTTATCATGAAAGTTGTGAAGGAAAAGCCCAGTGCATCCTCAAAGCACATAAACAGAGTCAGTGTCCAGGAAACTTTCCCTCAAGCTGTTAGCACAAGGGAGGGAGGCTGTTAGCATAAATTATGCACTTCACCAATAGGGCTTGGAGAAACCATGTTAAGCCACGAATTTCAGCCGCAGTGTTGAAAAATGGTACGAGCAGATAGATTTTCATCTGGCAGATTCCTAGAGGTGGTTATGATTCAAGGCTGCTCCTCTCCCCAACTCTCAACTCCTCTCAGGTGGATGCTACAACCCCTACTTGCCCAGATGGCTTTTAAATACTCTAAACACCCACCTACCTGGTTTCATTTGGGTATTTGCCATTGAGGGACTGTCAAGTAGAAATTGTCAAATATAGCTACACGGAAGGCGCGCGTGCGAGACCCGGGAGACCCAGAGAAGCGACTACCTACAAGGCGTGCGCGGGGTGGGCGCTTAGTTCAAGCGTGCCTTTCTCTCTGGGGCCCTGCGGTTGGCATCAAATGGCATCTGCTTCTGGGTGAGCACAGTCCAGCCCAGCCCAAGGGAATCTCCACGGCCGATTTAGAAATCAGCCGCCGAAGGTCCCCTCGAAGTACCCCAGAGCCGGCAGGAGTCCATTGGGCACGGGTGTCGCGCCCTCCCTTCTCCTGCAGCCACCCCGGCCCCTGCTCCGCTCTCTTCTCTCCACTTCTCCCTCTCTTGGGAATCCAGAACTGGGCTCGTCCGGATCGCAGCTAGTGAACTGCACTGCGGGGTGTGGCGGGACAGGCCAGGGGACCGGGGAAGGTTCTCGGCCGAGGAGGCGGCTGGGGGCTGGGGGCAAAGCGGCCGCACGCGGAGGGACGGGCGTCAGCTCGCGAACTCACCTGCTGCTCCCGCCCGG